CCGCCATTGAAGATCGGAGCTCCGAGAAGAGAAATGGTGGAGAGAGACGGTCTCGGGCTCTAGGGTTAGGGTTAGGGTTTTTTGGAGAATGGCGGCTGGTTTAGGCTTTTGTAGGAGGTAAGTGAGGTTTGGGTCGGGCGGCGCTGATGTGGATTTTTTGGGCCTGAAATGCCCATATAAGGTCCAAAGAATGCTCTTTTTTAAGTAAAAAAGCCTTTTTTTCTCCCCCAATATTGGTCCCTTTTATATTTTTCATATTTACAAGAAAATATCCCTCAAAACCATTGAAATTGTCACTAGTACTCCCGTTCCTATTATTTATTCAAATTAATCCATGTTGTTTTTTAACGTTTGATTTCATAGCAATTTTTCAGTTGTCTTGAACTTTTTGTCATGAATTTTCCCGTCATACCATTTTATTTTATATGATTACATATATTATGATACTTCTGCCGTTTTCAACTACAATTTATTGCTTAAGAAAACTTGGAAGCATCCAAATTAAGACTTTATGTATTGTTATTAATATTGTTAAATAATTTATAATTATTAATTTAAATGATATCTAAAGAATCAAATGTCTTCAGTAGAAAAAACTAACTCTTCAATCAAATAACTTCAAATCCCTAAAGTACAAGGTACTTATCTTAAGAACCGACAAATCTTAAATTAAAATAACAATAATTTGAATTCAATACTCTAGAACATATCATATATACTTACATATATATATATACTAGGTTCTATACACGTGCAATGCACGTGGTAAATTTTTTATCATTTATTATAAATGCATAATTTTATTTTGGGAAATATTGTTATTAAATTATTTAATATAAGCAATGGATCAAACATATAGACATAATCTCAAAATTAAACCTTGAATGCAAATTTGATAGCAAATCGAACAGAAAATTTCCAATCCAACCATCAACCAGTCAGGCTTTTAGATTGTTATCGACATAAGTATTTGCCAACTATTACTTTATGCATGGAACAAGAGGATATTCATCATATCCCTTGGAAAAAAAGTTAAATTCATCATCAAAAGAAATTTGTAGAGAAGTAATGAATTAACAAATGTGGTTTTAGAAAAGAGAAGGACAGGAAAATCCTCTTACAAATAGGCCCGCATTTCAAAATTACCGAATATTTGGACTATGGAAATGGAATACTATAATCTTTTTCTTAAATTAGATAAAGCACAGAACAGTAAACATCTAACATTATGAAGAATGGAAGCAAATATCTTTCCAGGCAAACAACACATGTAAGACTGTACTCATACTTAATGGAGTCAGAAAAGTTCATAGACATTACAGGTTGTGTACCACTTAAATCACAAGAGAATTATCTGAAAAAATCTCCAGGTTCTCCAATGTCCGACCCCGTAAAGTTTACATAAAATGCACCTAGTTCAATTAGCCAAGGTGACTGCAAAAGTTCCATGTCCCTGCCATATATTAAACTAATAACGTAAGAATTTACACAATGGATATCTGGAACACAATAAGTGTTGAATTACTAACTTTGTCATACTTCTTTAATATCTTTTGAATAGCAATAGCATTCATGGTAACATAATCAAGTAAAAGCCTTCCTTCTTGAACCATGACTTGCTGATCATCTCTGTGAAGCAATGGCGCAGTTTCCACATATATCTTTGAATACCTCCAGGAGTAACATGGAGATGGAGCAGACGTCTTACTCTGGAGCTGAAACATCCTGCTACCTCTGAAGCCTCCCTTGCCAATTCAGAAAAGAACTTCTCATCGCACACTAAAAAAGCAAGAGTGTTCTCAGTAGAAGCATTAAGCAGTCTTTTAGGGAACAAATGGACTAACAAAGAACCCAGTTCATGAAATATTTGCATGTTGATTGTCTTAGACACAGATTAGCAACTATATATTTTTTAAAGAGGGCAATCATAATCCAAGTTGATATTCAGGTTAGAAGAATAAATCACTTTCTTGCCCTCTTATTAACTTGGATGCATAATATGTACGGGTGTGTGTGGATCAACATATATACATATTACAAGTCATAAGATATTGACAGCCATACTACTGAATTTTACCTATTGCATATGCACAAAGCATTATTTGTTTATGTAACATAAACAAAATAGTCAATCATATCTGTACACAAAATATGAGCAAAGAAACCAGGACTTCGCTAAATGGTTAGTACAAAAACATGCACAGTACAATCAGAATTAGTAAATAATGAAAATGCGGAAGTTTATGAGAGAAAGATTAGAATAAAGCTTTTGAGTCATGTACATGTTAATTATTTGCTTGTACATCTTTTGATTGGCTTCTCTGACTGTAATTCATTCATGAAGTAAAGGCACAACATTTTTTTGAAATAGAAGTAGAGAAGGGTACCAAATGATCTCCACATGCTGATGGGAATAGTCAGAGACAAGTATCACAATCCAAGATATATAAATAGATGGCAGTCACCACCTTCATCTTGAATGTAAGACAAACTTAAGGAGTCTCCAACTTTGGCCCTGAAAAGGCATGGGAGTAAAATCATTTTCTCAAATTGAGCCTTTAATAGTGCCGACATGTAAATGCAGCCCAGCATTTCATATTTACAGTGGGGTAGCATGTATCAACCTTGAGTTCTCTGGTTGATATGAAGCTCTCTGTCTACGTTTGATTCATATACGATAGAATTTAACTACCGAAAGTTCCAATTCAATTCAGCACCTCCAATAATAAATGCTCCTTCATAAAAAGATGAAAACTGACAAATTGCATAACTAAAAAGAAAACAGTAAAACTAACTGCCGCAGACGAAAATACCAACTTCTATTCATGATGTCCAAAGTTTATAACTACCTCGTATTAAAGGGTTTCAAGCCATGTTGCTTACCAAGAACTCGAGGCATTTCTCATGCCACTTTAATGGATTGTCCTGGATTACCTGTTGCTACAGATTTTCTTCAATTGTTCAACCTTAGTAATGTAGAGGGATTAGAGTCAATTGGTCAATTTTAATTGGCAATCTACGGACCAGGTAAGCCTAAATCAGTCTACAAACGTTTAAGGAGCACACCACAATATAAATGAGATACTTCAAAAAATTATCTTGGATCTATTTGAGTATGACAAGATGAAAACACAACTACGTGGAAGAGGACCTTTGAAAATTAATCCAACATAACATTGATTTGACCAAGCTATTCATAACTATTAAACTGAAGCTAGGAACAAGCCAAACAAAAGGGAGAGATCACATCTACTTTTTTCATCAATTAAATTAATCTAATAATAATTTTCAAGAAAAGAGAAAAAGGGTTGTGCCATCTTTGAATTTCAATAATGTTTATGAATATAATGACATCTACTCATGATCACATGAGCAACTCAAGGTGTCTTCTTGGTATTTTCCAAGAAACAAGGTAATCATAATCCATGTTGATTACTTTTATTGAAATTTTATTAAGCAAAAGAAAATTACAGTCACATTTCATATATAAAAAAGGCATTAAATTGTCATGTTTGGTTCATATGTAGTCGAACTTACACTAACGAAATATGTCCAAGAACAAGGATAAGCAAATGGATACTCATATTTGAGCCTGAATAATGTTTAGTGAATAGAACAAAACTGCTATTTCGAATGATGGTCAAAAACTCACGAAATTATGTCCGTATTGTTCTTCTCATTATTTTTAAAGAAACAAAGGTAATCATAATCCAAGTTGATACTGATACTCATGTATTGTATTGAAATTTGAGTCAGTAACAGAAAATTACAGCGGAGCTTTGTGGGAAAAAGGTATTGAGTTGTTATTTTTTATTCACATGTAGTCGAATTTACACTACTGAAGTGTGGCCAAGAAAAGGGTTAGCTGACACATTGAATAGAATGGAATGTGGCTTGGACAACAATTACATGATCAAATGAAAACAAAAAATTTCAACCAAATATATTATTAATGGACAGCTCAAGGTTTCTTCTTGCTAATTTTTCAATAAACAAGGTAATCATATATAATCCGAGTTGCTTGCTATTCTCAGCAAGTTTGATTAAGCGAGAGAAAAAGGTATTAATTGACATATGATTCGTATGAGTCGAATTTATACTATAGAAATATCCATGATAGTATGAGTCGAATTTATACATGGGCACCACTTTTATCAGTTAAAAATCCAGATCATATATATTGTGATGTATTTGATACAGTTAAGAAACAAGTTTCACCAAGCCACAGTCAGCATTCTGGAGAAAATCCCAGCAGATTATACACTAAAACAAAAACTAACCCATTTCCATTTGAAAATACAAAAAAATGACATAATTTGTAGCAAAAACAGCTAGGAATTACTTGCACAATATTGACAATTATTCTCAGGAATAAGTAAAAAAGTAGATGTGTAAATAGATAAAGTTCTTTCCTTAAAAAAATAGATCACTTTAGTATTGTTTTGCATGTAAAGCTAAAGTCTAAACGCAAATAGGTAGCAAAGCCCCAGATAGCCATCTTATACAATATGATTATATATTGTTGGGAAATAAATCACACTATAGGTTTTCCTCAACTTAGAAGTCTATGAATCCATTCACCAGTGACCAATCCTACCTGATGTTTGGCCAATTTAATGTTTTTGTTGGTGTAAGTATGATGGGGATTGAGACATGTAACTATAAGAGATCATAAAGTTTGAATTTAATGAAATGAATTGCTGTACCTAGAACTTCTGTAAAATAAATTTTCTAAAGCAATGTAACATCTTATATTTGAAGTTCATTCAATAATTATTCTTGCATTCTGTCAAATATTATTTATTTTGTATATTCTGCATCCAGAATTTGGTTAAAGTTGCGTAAATTCTCAACATTTGAAAGATGTAAACATTTTTTAGCAAGATACCTGGTTAAATTTCATGAGTTCATTTTATTGTAACATCGGCATTGTTGTGGTGTTCAATTGTATCTTAACTTCTAACTATATACAAGAACTAACTACCTGTTACAATATATTATGACTTAGAAAAAAAAAAATGAATGATATACTCATCAACTAAATGACCCCAAAAATTTTTTTTTTACATTAACTGCAAAATTCTTATAGGAGAAAAGAAACTACTAAAGCTAAACAATTCTAAAGGCACAAAACAAGAAATTATAAAGGCGAAAAGATATCGATGTCATGATGATTACTATTGGGCTTCGGTGTTTGAGGTGATCTCCATCTTGTATGTATCTTTACTGGCTGCTATAAAATGTATTTATTACTTCAATATTATATTACGTGATAGTACATTTTAGTACTTCATACTACAGAATTTGATTCACAATGGATTTTAGGCATGCCAGTCATCACCAATTGCATTATCTTCAAGTGATGAAAAGTACTCTTGTGCGTAATATTTTCCCTGTTAATTATTTTAACTTTCCTTATCATTGTGAAGGATTGTTGCATGAGAGGTTAAACAATTAAGTTGGCATGGATCACTTCACAGATTAGAGCAAGTAAAATCTAGGTAAAGGTGCACGCACACTCATATGAAACTGTGAAGTCTGAAGAGGAATAGAACATATTTACAATGAACTCCTCCGTCAAAATGATGAAAATTTTGCATTCATCTTTGGTAAAATGCAGTCATCTAAGCTCCCACTATACCGATTACTATCGAGAAGGTCCTTTCTCTTATAGTTGGTTTGGTCAGGAATTCTATCAAGTTGGTGGGGCTGACATCCGATGGAGAGCCGTCATTCTTTGTTAACTTTGAGTAAGGCTACTTAGCTAACACCCCCATAATGGGAAAAATCATTCTTTCTCAACTTTGAGTAACGCTATGTAGCTAACACCCCATAATGAGAAAAGGATTAATGTGATGGTATGATTTAAATAAAGTAATTGACAGACGTGCTTGTAAACAACTATTTCTTATGCTTATTAGTTTATGGGTAAAGTATGGTGCTATCTGAGGAACTTGGTAAAGAATAGGTCAAGACAGCTGGCTTTGTGTAAAAGTGGACTTCAAGAGGGAAGTATGTCAGTATGAGGAGGCAAAGTAACGAAGCATTAAACGGATAAAGGATGACTACATGAAGATCAATCTGTATTTTTTTACAGATCTATGTATGTGGCTGGATGCCTGATTGTCTGGAAAGTACTTGGTCCTTAAACTAAGAACTGAACACTGTGGTGTATTAATTATCTAACATAAACCTTGAAAGGCCCGCATCAGGCAAACATGTCATCACTTTGGAGCATTAGTACTTTGCATTTTGTTATATGTGTCTGCAACTTTTGCTATTTAGTAAGTTTTTTCTACAATTTCTGGTGAATAATGAGTTGTATGTCCTCTTTGACAGATGTTTTAGGTTTAGGGTCTTGTTCTGTAAACTTCACTAAAAATCCTAATCTACTGTGAATAAGAAGTCATACCAAAAAAAAAAAAAAAGAAAAAGAGGAGAGCTCTTTTGAGAAGGAATTCAATTACAGCAAAATATGAAGAAATGTTACATGAACTTACTGCAGAAAATATCGTTAGTAGTATAAAGAATATTTTTCTGGTCAAGTACTGCAGGCAGTGGCAGAGGCTCCTAAAGAGGCCCTTCCTCTTGACTGTAGGCCCAGCTTTGGTACTGCATGGTCCACAAAAATGAAGTTCAAGGTATATCTGCAAAATGTTCATCTTGTTTTAACAATTCTTATCAATTCCAAATTGTGACTTATTAGTTACATGTGCAATGGGAT